ATTGGGGAGTTATTAAAGGAAGTATTTAAAATTACAAATCTGGACTACATTATTGGGGTGAAATTAAAATCGGCACTTTGTAATATGAGGTACTATAACATTGTATTTATTTATTTATTTCCTTGTAGATTCATTAGGAATAACATTGTATTTTAACATTAAGCAGGAACTAAGCACTCAATTAAGCATGTTCAACATCTGATAATAATAGGGATGTTCCTTATCAGTAATTGTGAATAGTTTTTCACTGAGATTTTCTTGACAATATTCTGGATTTGAGCCAAGACTTCACCATTATTAGTGTCTGAATTTATTTTAATTTTTATTTTTTTTGATATGAACTTTCGCTCTTGTTACCCAGGCTGGAGTGCAATGGCGCGAAACCTCCACCTCCTGGGTTCAGGCAATTCTCCTGTCTCAGCCTCCTGAGTAGCTGGGATTACAGGCACGCACCACCATGCCCAGCTAATTTTTTGTATTTTTAGTAGAGACGGGGTTTCACCATGTTGACCAGGATGGTCTCGATCTCTTGACCTCGTGATCCACCCGCCTTGGCCTCCCAGAGTGCTGGGATTACAGGCTTGAGCCACCGTGCCCGGCTATTTTTATTTTTTACTTCCTATCTCTTATTTAAAAAGAAGACAGAAGTCTACATAGGTTTTAATAATTGCAAGCATCTGCCAATGCTGTAGTATATAAAGCTTGTGTTTGGACATGGCAATACTGGAATGTCTTGTCAGCATTTAGTATCTTGGATATATAGGATAATGACAGAGACTGGTATAGCAATAACTGTAATACAGTTATAGTTACTCTTTAACCAAAGCTGTCTAAATCTTTTTTTACTGGTATTTTAATAATAAATATCTCTGCTCTTTGAAGAGGTACTAATTAATTGTCTCTGTGTTGAAAAACTGAAAGGAATTAAACTGGTTCGAAAGTAACTGATTCCTGAGTACGACCACCAGGTCTGCCCTGGCCAAAATTAGTAAAAGATTGATGTCTGTATGTGGTTCAAAACTGCTTTATTATCATCATTGGTAAATGACCACTGAAAATATTAAAGCAGTGGTAAGATAATACAGTTGACTCTAGAATACCATGGGCATTAGGGACAGTGATTGCTCATGCAGTTGAAGATCTGTGTGTAACCTTTGACTCCTCCCAAACTTTACTGATAGCCTACTGTTGTCCAGAGGCCTTATGAATAACAAAGTCAGTTTTCACATATTTTGTATGTTGTTTATATTATATCCTGACTATTCTTACTACAAAATAATCTAGAGAAAATAAAATGTTGTTAAAATCATGAAAATACATTTACTCTGTTAAGTGGAACTGGATCATAATAAAAGTCTTCATCATTATTTTCATGTTGTATGGGCTGAGAAAGAGGAGGGGTTGCTGTCTCAGAGGTGGCAGAGGCTGAAGAAAATCCATGTATAAGAGGAATTAAATTGGTTCAATAGTAACTGATTCCTGAGTACGACTGCCAGGTCTACCCTGGCCAAAATTAGTAAAAGAACCCATGCAGTTCAAACTCATGTTATTCAAGGGTCAGCTGTACTCTCTTAATCTTAAATATTTTTGTGCTGAGATTGTTCTTATTTTCAATGAATTCAAAGTACTGAGAAATTCTAAACTTGTTTTCAGGTTATTAATAGGTAGCAATTTTTTCGTATGGATTAGTTTATAACTTATTTTAAATCTAATTTTAATTATTCATATTTAGTTTATAAAGACATCTTAAATTTTGCATAATTCTGTTGGGTACAGGTAATATCTGAGATATAAAAAATACATAGCTAGGCTACAGTTCCAATGCAGTTGTTGATAGATGACTCTAGATAATAGCATCACTTTTAGTTTTATACTAAAAGTAGGGACAGTGGTAGATATATCTCAGCAACAGTAAAAAGATAAGCACTAAACTTTCATAAAGTAAGTTATCTATATAAAGTACTTTAAGCTGTGAAAGTTTACAGAAAGACCAAGTTTTCTAGAATGCAAATGAATTAAAATGGTACGCATACGTATAGTGTTACAATGACTGAAAAACCACACTTTCTGAATTTTAGTGAAGACAAGGTAAATTATTAGATGGCACTTTTAAGCATGAGGTATCAGGAAAATCATTTTTTGTTCACTAAGTGAAAAACACTAGTGTAAATTGTGGCTTTCAGGTGAGTGAATAGGGCTGGCTCACTGCCTTTTGAGTGTTCTGAGGCATATTTACAGATGAAGGGGGCGTTATATTTTTAGTAGATTAAACAAAATTACAGGCTTTACTGGAGGATTTTATAGCGTTTGTAGTATTTTAAAGTACACTGTGTGAATGGTGAGGAAGGGAGATTGACAGCTAGACATACAATGTCATGGGATTTTAATTTGATGGAACAAACTTTAGGAAGCTCCCAGATGATCATGATGATGATGATTTGAGACTAAGTTTTGCTCTGTTGCTCAGGCTGGAGTGCAGTTGGACGATTTCGGCTCACTGCAACTTCCGCCTCCTGGGTTCAAGTGATTCTCCTGCCTCAGCATCCTGAGTAGCTGGGATTACAGGCGCCCGCCACCATGCCTGGCTAATGTTTTTATTTTTAGTAGAGAGAGGATTTCACCATGTTGGTCAGGCTGGTCTCGAACTCCTGACCTCATGATCTGCCTGCCTTCGCCCCCCAAAGTGCTGGGACAACAGGCGTAAGCCATTGTGCCCTGCCTAGACCAGATTATTTTTTAAATTACTTCCATATATAAAAATCTATAATCCTGTTAAGAACTCAGGAAGTATTTATGATTAATTATCCCATTTATTGTTCTAGAAACTTCAGTTTTTATAATCTTCCTAAATTGATCTTTGTGTTGATAAAAGAGTGTCAATATTAAGGAGCTTATTAATTTTAAAAGACCCATATCTATCCAGACTGGTAGGAGGCTTTAAGATACTAAATGCTCAGCTTTCAGTAGGTATCTAAAATGAAACTTCTTAATCATATTCTATTCTAACATTTGATCAAGAGAAAAGTTTTAGGCAGAAAAGAAATTTGATGCAAGGGGCAGCTGAGCTTAAACCATGAGAAACCTAGTAAAGGTGAAGAAAGTTTCTCCAAATTAATTTCGTTGGCATTTAAAGAGCAGCAGTGGTGCCTATCACTAGATAACATAAAAAATTGCAGACTGGGCATATGGCTCACCTGTAATCCCAGCACTTTGGGAGGCTGAGGTGGGCAGATTGTTTGAGCCCACAAATTCAAGACCAGCCTAGGCAACATGGTGAGGTCTTGTCTCTACAAAAAAATACAAAAATTAGCTAGGCATAGTGGTGCACACCTGTAGTCCCAGCTACTCGGGAAGCTGAGGTGAGAGGATGACCTGAGCCTAGGAGGTTGAGACTGCAGTGAGTCATGATCGCGCCACTGCATTCCAGCCTGGGTGACAAAGTGGGACCCTGTCTCAAAAGTAATAAATAATATTTAAAAATTGCAAAGTGTAATACTGTCGTGTTTTTTAAAAGTTAGGTATCATTTTGCTGCTTACCCTACATTAGTTTCAGGCTCTGACAATACACAATGACTGCTTTTGATCTGTTTTTGTAGTGAACAAGACCTATAATCCAAATATATTAACTAATTTCTGACTTTGTAGACATTGTTCATTACTTAGTAACTCTTATTTTATGCTGTGATATCTTGAAAGATCTTATAAATGATTATGTGGTGTCATTTTCCTGTCTTCAACAAAAAATGATTTCCTAGGGTGCTGAAGAACAGACTTAACTTTGATGACACAAAGTGAAGGGCGTAGCCAGAGGCGGTTGAAAAGATATAAACTGAACAAGTTCTTTCTTTAGGTAAATCTGTGGCAGGAACAGGTAAATTAGCAAAGCCACAGAATAGTGGTAGAGGGGTGAAATGATATGGGTAGTGCTGAGCTGGGCTCTAGAAACAGAGGTCAGACAGGGCAGAGATGAGCAGTTACCTGGGAAACCGTGTGTGGGGTTGACAGACAGACAGGTTCTTCTACCTCTATGCTGGATGTCTTCATAAATTGCTCTGTCAGGACGTGTTCTTGTTTGCTTCCTTTTGTGGCTGCTGTGACCATCCTGGTTTGGAAACTTTTTTTCAGAAAATTACTACTACTAATATAGTCTTTATAATACATAAATACAAACTGATTTTGACTTCACTGCTTCTAAGGGACATTGTCCCAAATCTTATTTCCTCAAGGAATCCAGTGTCTATTTCCAAATACAGTGTATAAGTGTGTGTATTCCTTCTATTCACTGTGACTGTGGATCTCAATCTAAATACAATTTAACTATAAAAAGAAATACAGTGCTCTAGTTTATTAAAACATGGTTTTTAAAAATGTCCTCTGGGGTTCTATTATTTTTGCCATAGTTCTTTGCTTTGATTCTTGGATAGATACTGAATCTCTCAAATTTGGTTTCTGTATCAGTAAAATAAAGCCAGTATCACTTGTCTTGTGGAACTGTAATGATTAAAGAGCCAATGTATGCATACTGCTCAGTATATAGGAACTATTAGTGCTACTTTCGTATTTTTTATATTTATGAATTCTGATGTTTTTCCATATTTAATTTTACAAAGAGAAAATCTTGCATCAGTTTAAATGTTTGAATTAAATAATTTATGCTAATTCTTGGGGTGAAAATAGTTACTTAACAAGGCTAGGCTCTTGTGAGGTAATGATCATAATTTTTTTTAAGTAAAAATTTACAAATATTAATCATTAATAGTTTAATATTACTTGCTTTTCATTCCAGGAGTGGACGCTTCTCTTGTGAGCCAGCTGGAGGGCTTACTTCTTTGACTGAACCACCCAAGGGACCTGGCTTTGGTATACAAGCAGGCCTTTAATTTATATTGAACTGTACATATGTCACTAGAGAAATAAAATATGAACTTCCAATCTACATAAACTTTTAAAAATTATTTGTTTATTCTGCTTTGTGTACACCCTGGTGGTAACCTTGGCAACTTGAAGCTCTTTTAAATATTATGTCATAATGACAGAGCACCATTTCAAAGTCTTCTATCAATGGCTAACTGTGAAGACATTATTACATAATCTAGTTAATAGTTACTCTAGTGTCACCCATTTTCAACTTCCAGATCACTTTTATCAGTATCAGGTTACCGTGAAGTAAATATTCAGTCAAATTTCAAATGGTTTGCTTTCCCATCTTTAGCTACAGCCAAGTTTTAAGTTAACATGATCTTTCTATAAACTTTGTTAGAGCCCCCTATAAACACTATCCTATTTACAACACATAGTTGTTATTGTATTTCCAACTGGTGAGACCTCCAGCACAGTGTAGGTTTAAGGAAGATGATATGGTAGTTGTCTCTAGAAGCATTACCGTTTTTAAAAAAGAAAGGCCCAAAACACTTTTGACATTATCCTTGGCTATTCTGACACCGCAAGTATATAAAAAAAAATTGGGTGAAGGGATTGGAAGTATGATTACACACTCTTCAGTGGTATGTATACTACAACTTAGAAAAAAGGATACAACCTTTTGTGTATTAAGAAACTAGCTGTAGGTGTGAAGAAGAAGAGGCGAGAGCGACCCCCGGACCGACCAAAGCCCACACGCCGCTGCATCCCGCGCTCAGCGCCTACATCCCGCCGCCGTCGCCACCATGCCCAAGAGAAAGGCTGAAGGGGATGCTAAAGGAGATAAAGCCAAGGTGAAGGACGAACCACAGAGAAGATCCGTGAGGTTGTCTGCTAAACCTGCTCCTCCAAAGCCAGAGCCCAAGCCTAAAAAGGCCCCTGCAAAGAAGGGAGAGAAGGTACCCAAAGGGAAAAAGGGAAAAGCTGATGCTGGCAAAGAAGGGAATAACCCTGCAGAAAATGGAGATGCCAAAACAGACCAGGCACAGAAAGCCGAAGGTGCTGGAGATGCCAAGTGAAGTGTGTGCATTTTTGATAACTGTGTACTTCTGGTGACTGTACAGTTTGAAATACTATTTTTTATCAAGTTTTATAAAAATGCAGAATTTTGTTTTACTTTTTTTTTTTTTTTTTTAAGCTATGTTGTTAGCACACGGAACACTTCATTGTTGTTTTGGGGGAAGGGGCATATGTCACTAATAGAATGTCTCCAAAGCTGGATTGATGTGGGGAAACGCCTTTCCCTTCTAGTTTTGAGAGACTTCCTCTTGGCTCCCAGGAGGAGGGATTCCCTGACTTTGACACACATGGCCACCTTGGCACACAAAAGCCTTGTGGTATGGAAACACAAATTCGCTTTTATGTCCTCTTCTCCCTCTCCGTCTTTCAGAATAGACTTAACTCCCTTAAGCCCAGGCATCTGTTGGGACCTGACTCCCAGTCATTGGTTACCAGTGTCAGGCAATCTGGACTTGCCAGTGATGCCACTGAGATGGCTCCTGTCAAAAAGCAGTGATTCCATTTCTAGATTGTGGATCTTCAGATGAATTCTGCCATTTTCATTTCACTTCCTGAAAGTCAGGGTCGGCTCGTGTAAAGTTGTTAAACAACATGCTAAATGTGAAATGTCAACCCTCACTCTAAACTTTCCCTGTTCAGAGCATCAGATGAAGACTTCATTGGGTTTTATAGTGGCTTTCTGATTTTTGGTAGTCCATCAAAGAAGGGAGTTTGAAAGTGGTTGTATACTGTTAATGATTGTCTGCCCATGTCCTGCCTGAAATACCATGATTGTTTATGGAAAGTATCTTTAATAAAGCTGGATACAGTTTGGCTTGGAAAAAAAAAAAAAAAAAAAAGAAAAAAAGAAACTAGCTGTAGTACATTAGTTTTGCAAATGGGATTAGCCAGATTTAATGCATGAATAAATTTATATAAATCTAATAAATGCTTGATTTCTCAAAGTCACTTGTACTTGAGACAGATTATTCACTAGTAATTATGCTTTTTATTTATTTATTTATTTTGAGACAGGCTCTGTCTCCAGGCTGGAGTGCAGTGGTGTGATCAAGGCCCACTGCAATATTCTGGCATCAGCCTCCTGAGCAGCTGGGAGCACAGGCAGGTGCCACCAGCCTGGTTAATTTATATATATATATATATATATTTTAGAGACAGGGTCTTACTATGGTGCCCTGGCTGGTCTCAAACTCTTGGGCTCAAGTCATCTGCCAGCCTCCCAAATTGCTGGGATTACAGGCATGAGTGACCACGCTTGACTATAATGATTGTTTTTAAGTATATCTTTAAGAATTTTTTTTTTTTTTATTGAGAGAAGGTAAACAGTAATTTTCCAAGTGGCACAAGTAAGTAACAATGAAAATGTCTTCCTTCTATCCTAGAGCTCTCTTGACTTTCTCATAGGCGACTATTTTTTTCTTTGTATTTCACATCATAAATAACCAAATTAAATGTAACACTATTCCACCAATAGCCATAAGGGGCTCTCTTTCTAGTCTTGTTGACCCTAATGATTTTTAGGTGGGATAAATCAGGAACCTACGAAAGGAAAAACTGATCTTCAATGCAGGTTGATACTTATGCCGTCCTTGTCAAGTCAGAATGTCACTTCATTTGCTGTGAACACATCTGAACCCTCAGTCATCAAGACGTTTAAGGACAGTCTAACATAAACTTGGAACTGCATGCACTAAGTCATAAAGGGATGCTGTAGTTTAACGGAAGAAAACAGTTTCCCGCCGAGTACGTTAACACCTTAAACTGAAGCATTTAAAACCTGTTGCAGATTAATCTCTGGTAAAGAACACGCGCCCAGAAGGGAGTGAGTACACGCTGCTGCCACGCTGCGACGGTCAGTTTTCCTGAGGCACCCTTCCCAGTGCCTGAGCGGCTCCCTCTCAAGCTCCCAACACTACATGTGTGAAAGTAAACCGAATTCCTCTTTACAAAGCCCACTGGAAGGCGTGCCTGGGAAGGGACGCGCTCCAGATCCCGTAGTCCCGGGGCAAGAGCACGCTACCAGCTTTCGGGGCGGGGCCCAGGGCTCCAACCTGGCGCAGGGGGGCCGCGGGCTCTGGGCGCAGGTGCGGCTTCGGCACGGCGCTGGGCCAGGCGGCCGCCGCCGGCTTAGCGGGGAAACTTCACCTAGTTCTCGAGCTAAAGTGGCAGCGTCGTTTTGTCTCAGTTGGATCACGCTTGTCCACCCACCCGGTGCAAAAGTAACGGGTGAATACCCTATGTGGGGTCTTCATCTCCGCCGCCATTTCCAGAAGTTTCCAGTCACAGCCACTGCCACGGTCGCCACGAACGCTACTGCAGAGCCCGCTGGCCGGGCAGCGTCTGCGGCGTCTGCCTAGCCTCTTCGCCTAGTCTTTGATTTCCCCTCCTTTGTCGGATGGTGTCTGAGGAGGGGAGGCGGTGACACTAACCCGGGTAGGGTGGGGAGACAAACCAGCACGTAGGGCGGAGTTCCGGCCCGCACCCCTCCGTCGCTTGCTGCTTGGTACGTCCTGCTCCCCCGCCCTGCGGCTTGCGGAGCCTCGCGGAGCGGCAGGAGGAGCGGGCGCCGGGGGAGCGGGGCGGTCACGCCGCCCGTCCCGTGCCCGCGGGAGTCACGTGTCCGCAGGTGTCACGTGCTCGCGCCGCAGCCAATCGCGGGCTGGCGCTGTCCTGGGAGCGAGGAGGCTGTGGTGAGAGACGGACCGAGACCGGAGATGTTTTCAAGCCCGGCTCCGGCGGCGTTACAGGCGTTTGCAGCGGCGACGAAGACAAGGACAGCGACGGCCACGCCGAGGCACTCGTTCCGGGGGTGAAGCCTCCTGCGCCGGCCTTGTCTCGGGTCCGTGCGGGTGAGGGGGGCGTGGCGACAGGAAAGGAGGAAGGAGGGGCGCGGTTTCGAGCCTTTCCCCGGCGCCTGGGAGGAGACCCCCTCAGTTCTGCGCTGCTCCCGTTCCTCCTCCCCAGAGCAAGGTAGGAGACGCGCCGTGCCCGCCCTCCCCGGCCTGGCGTGCCGCCCATCCGGCCTGGCCCGAGCCGCGGCGCGCCTGACAGTGACAGGCCGTTTGTGCCCCCCGGCGCGGGTCCGCCGTGTCCGCCGGGGCCCCGCCCGCCGCCGCCGCCGCCCCTCCTGGGGCGTCCCGAGGGGCCGCGGCGCAGGTGGCAGTAGCCAGCTGGGCGGAGGCGCCGCGCAGGGCGGGGCGGGGGCCGGGCGGAGGGCCGTGAGCTGGCCTCAACGCGGGTGCCTCACACCGGGGCTGTTGGGGCTCGCCTGCCGCCGCCTCCAGGAACATGGCGGGGCCGGAGGAGCGTGTGCGTGTGCGTGCGAGTGTGAGTGTGCGCGGCCGAGAGGGCGCCGCTGGCGTGTCGTGGTCGGACCCGCGGGGGCGGGGGCGCGCCCGGCCCGCCGCGCGTTCCCGCTGCCAGCCGCCCAGCGTGCGCGGACGTCGGGGACTCCGCCAAGGCCGCTCGGGCAGGGAGCGTCAGAGGCACCCAGGTCCTGGGATGGGTGGTTGAAAGCAAGACACTGCTGGTTGAGTAGTGTCCGGGGAAAGCAGCCACTCTACAGTTCTGTCTTAAATGCTGGCGTAATCTAACCTTGCCGCATCAGGCGGGCAGTTTCCTTCATTGTTTTTCAAGTGTCCACTTCTGGTGCTTCAAGACCCGTGGAGCACGTCGGGTTCTTAGACCTCGTTTTGAGGAGTGATGTGGAATGACGCATCCTTACAGATCGCAAAGCGTTGAATAAACGGTTGTACAAAGAGGTATCCGAAGCTTAGCTGACAGCTGTTTTAGTAATAGTAAGACACTGTCTAGGGTAGGACGTTACTGTTGCACTTGTCAAAACCTTAGGAAACGTTTAAAGCAGTGTAGTTACCGGGATTGTAATTTCCACTGGACACCGGTGGCTAAAACTGCTAACTAAGGTGAAGTGTGTTGGAGATCCAGTGATGTGTATGTAATGTTTGGAATTGTCTGTAATCCTAAGGTTGAAATGAGCCTTCATCTTCAGTCATGTATTTCATTTTCGTTTATGAAATTGGAAGGCTAACTAGTGAAATAGTTGTTTTAACATAAATTAACTGTTTATTAAAAACATATGCTCGGCCAGGCGCAGTGGCTCATGCCTATAATCCCAGCACTTTGGGAGGCCGAGGTGGGTGGATAACCTGAGGTCAGGAGTTAGAGACCAGTCTGACTAACATAATGAAACCCCATCTCTACTAAAAATACAAAAAGCCAAGCGTGGTGGCACATGTCTGTAATCCCAGCTACTTGGGAGGCTGAGGCAGTAGAATCTCTTGAACACGGGCGGCGGTCTGGCCTGGGCAACAAGAGCTCCATCTCAAACAAACAAACAAACAAAAACATGTGCTCAAGTAGGCCGTTAAAAATCTTGGGCAGTGATCTGAGTTTCTTCAATCGTTACACAAAGCCTTTCCTGGAGATTAGCTCAGAACTGGCAGAACATATGCTCTATTGGTGCCAAGTGGCTTAAAAGCAAAATGAGATAGTGTCCACTGTGTAAGATGAAGTCGTTATATTAACTAATCTTGTTGAGGAAAATCTTTAATTTGAGTTAAAAGCAAAAACATTTAAAGATTTGAAATGTTTTCCCGGGAGATTATAGACAAGGAGAGAAAGGTTTTATTACTTAAGGATCTTTTATATTTGATGCAGGCACTGAATAAATTGCTGAAGCTCTACAGGCATCTTGACTAAGGTCAAGCTTAACTCAAGTTATGTGTTTTATTTTAGAGATAGATGAGATGTTAGAATGGGAGGGAAATGAGTGTTAAGTTTACTTATGTAGGATCCTTTTAATGTTCTTAATCTCTTATAGTTTTCATAGTAGTTGTTAAAAATTCGTTATTGGAATAGCTTTATGAATTATGGAGAACTGGGAAAGTGGAAATCTCTGGGTGTGTATTCCATGAAGAATATTTGAGGAGGAGTAAAGAGAACGAGTATATTCAGACGAGGAAAGAATTTAGCTGAAAATACATTGTGCAGACTCACACTGGTTAATACCCAAGCGGGGGGAAAAAGCTTGAATTTTATTTGCGGAGTAGTGCCCAGCGGTAGGATGAATTTAAAAGGAAGATGTTTTTATCAAGATGTCAATATTACTTTTTCCCTGTAAAAGTTGGAAAACGTTACTGATACTCTTTTGAAGTAGATTGAAGAAATAGTAGGATATTTGGACAACACTTTGTTGGAGAAGAGATTTTTATTCTTAAAAAAACATTGAGTGATTGTAAACATGTTTGATTTCTTGCTGTTAGCTGACACGTAGGCTTTTCTTTAAATACATTTTAAGTTTTAAGAGCGTTATTTCAGTCCAAAAAGAGGATGATTAGTGGCATTAGTCATTTCCATCATAGTTAGTAAGAGGTTTCTACCGCTCTCTGTATATAGACTTAATCATATTAAAGTAACATGTCAGGTGGGCATGAAGAATTTATCTAGTAATTGCAGTAGGTTACTTAAGAGCTATTGATACTGCTTTCTGACTTGGAATTTGTTGCTAACAATACGTATTTGTAAAATGCATGTGCCTTGTAAAGGGTACAGTGTTGAGATTTATCCTTGGGACTGGAAGGGACCTCCGAGTTTCTTACTCATTTCCTTAATTTTACAGATGAGAAAATAAAGGCCTGCTAAGATGAAAAGACTTAAAGCTAGTCTGCAGCTAGTTAAAAACAGTCTGTGGTTTGGCCGAGAGGTTTCTTTCGTGAAGATGCTAATTTGCCTCTTTCTTTAGAAGAAGCCTTATGGAGTTGTGGAAATAATATTGAAATATAAGTGAGAAGGCCTGGGTTAAAATTCTTGATTTATCACTTCCTAACAATGGATTTTGATGTATCACATTAACTTTAAGAACCGGCCTTCTATCAGCTGCAACTTAAAAAAAAATAACCAGGCCTTCTTAACCTGCGAAAGTAATTTTCCTGCATAATTTCGTGGTGATGTGTGGAACATTTAAATGAAAATACTTTAGGAAGCACATTGTATACTTGTAAACTTCTATACACTGTGGTATGTTATTTTTAAAGAAAATACAATTCTTAAAGTTTAACAAGGTGTTTAGATCCCTGGGTTTTTGTGTAGCCCTAGCTTTATTGTTTTCATCTTCTGCTGTTTTACAGATTATAACTCCTGTAGATACATTTTCTGATCCCCACTTTGTTCGAACTGTAGTTAAGCCGCTTATGAACATTTTAAATATTGGAGTTGTTAGTCTGACTTTCCCTGGAGAATATGAAGCTTCTTTATCTTTGAAAATACTTTCATATATATTCATGCATTCATAATCTATTTCTGTAACAGACAGTGGCTTTTTAAAAGTAATAGTGAAAGTAATCTTAGTAGCAGTGTTCATTTATTTGTCTCTTGCTAGTTTCCAGATATGCAAAAGCGGAGATAATTTCCTTTAAAAACTCAGCTTTGGTAGTTCATGTTAAGGTCATCTGGTATATCTAAAATATTTAGAAATGTTAAAACAGTTTTTGTTTGCTTTTGCTGTTAAGTTTGAAAACCCTTTAGTGCTTTAAACCAGCATCAATACTGTATTACATAGATTATCAGCGTTTTTATAGTCTTGAAAATAAAGGTACTAATAATTATAGATTATATTTCCTGTACACTTAGAATATGCAAGTCTGTGTTTTAAGTGAAACATTTCAGGTAATTTTGATAGTAACCTTGGAAAACAGAGAGGTAACTGAGGCTATGAACAATTATGTGATGTGTAAATATTACACACTAAATAACAGATTTGATTGTCCTATTTCTTAACCATTTCTCTTCTTTCCCTCTAAGAATGTTTAGTTGGTTTTTGCAGAGTTTTAAGGCAGTGTTTCTCAATTTCAGATTTCATCAAAAATGTTTGGGGGCCAGCTATTTTACCTTCTTTGGGGTGGTCAAAAAAGAAAAGAAGTTCCTTATGGGAATCATAAGAGCATAGACCAGTAAGCCCTTTTATGAGATGCGGATATACTTGTTGCTGTGGTGGTGGTGGTGGTGTTTTTATATTAGTTGTCAGACCACATTATTCTTAACAGCTACAAAAAGGTCTATATTTGTTCGTATAATATGAGACTATCCTAACAGATTCCATCTTGCTATTCATATCATTCTTCTGAAGAGATGTACTTTTATCACAGTGACTGAAGAAAAAAGATAACGAAACTCATTTAGGACTTTCATAAGGGAATAGATCCTGCAGTAGAAAATTTACTGGGTTTATCCAGGTTAGAAAATAGTATCCAAGACCTGGTTTTCTAATTAGTGCGAGCCTCTAAAATTCCAAGAAACTTAAATTCAAACATAAGTCTTTAGAAAATTAATTTTTAACATGGAGATGCTTGCAACTTAAAGGAGGTAGATTATGAAGCCACAAGTTACAGGGTAGAAGTCATTTCTTTTTCTTTGGCTTTAGAAAAAAATTACAAAAAATTAAAAATTGTGTCATCTTTGGTCAGTTCCTTAACATCTGTTTATTGGGGGCTAAAATTATTTCAACATATGTAATAGTTTGCCTTTCTAGTTATCAGTGTGTATTCAGGCCATAACTGGGAAAAATAAACACAAGTGTTAGCGATAAGTACATTTTGATTTCTGTTAACTATCTTATTTTGACAATAGGAGATTAATAATCTCTAATATGCATAAAGAGATTGGCAAATTGTTAACCTTTTAAAATAAATAAAGGGGTTTTTTGTTTGTTTTTGTTTTGTTTTGTCTCAGAGCCAAGATCTTGCTATGTTGCTCAGACTGGTCTCAGTCTCTAACTCCTGACCTCAGTCCTTCTGCTTCAGCTTCCCTAGTAGCTGGGATTATGGGTTTTAGCCACCTTGCCTGGCTATATAGTCTCTTCTTGTAATGAAAGCAAAGAGTTATAGTAGAGCTCTGTAGCGTCTCAGATTTCAGATTGTTCCTCCTACATAGGAATTTTGTCAGCATTCTGACTTCTAATTGAGAACAAAACCCATGTGTTGCTCTTTCTTCTACTTAGGAATAGCTATATTGACTCAAGATAAAGGAAAAATAGTACCTTAAAAACTACAGTGCTTTGTAATTCACACAGTACTTTTTACATCTGATTCTCTTTTGAATCTTACAGCTTAGTGAACCTAAAACAAGGATTTTTGGCTAATCTGATGATACTGAGCCATGGATTGAATCCAGGTTAAAATTATCTGGACTTATGTTAGATTCCTTTGAAATTCACTCATGAAAGAGAAACATTAGCAAACATAAAGGAAGAGAAAGGAGAGACATGTACTTTTATTTTTCTCCCACCAAATTCATGTTGTACAGAACTTTCTACTCT